TCCCACAAGTTTTTATAGCTCTTTATTTCCTAAGTAATCTGTTATCATTTTTGATCACATCTTTTATTCCATCTTTCTTTAGGAAAATATCTTTTAAATATTCACTATTTTTCTAGTTATTCTTGATTCTTGGTCCAAATATATAACCTGTAGAATTTCTGTTTTGAAGTTTATAATGGAATCCCAGCTTAGGAGGCTAATCTCAGTTTATTTCTTATTAATTATATTATTTAAATCTCTAAGTTTTTTGAATAATTTATAGAATGCTAGTGGTTTCATTTCAATACTATTTTTTTCTTTTTTTCTTAGGTTTCAGTAGCTTTTGTTTTATGTATTTTGAGTCTATGCTATGTAGTATATAATTTTGTCTATTATGAACATATTGTTCTCTATATAAATAACCTTTTTTATTCAATGATTGTTATCTTGAAGGTCACTTTGATTTTACGAGTCCTTTAATTTTATTTTCATTTGCCCACAATTATTTTTACCCATCCATTTATTTTATATATCCTGTTTTCAGTTCTGCTACTAGTTATTAATAATTTACTTTAACTTTTATTGCTCTGATTACCAAACTTAAGAAAGAAACAATAACTTGTGAATGCCATGGTCTCATTTACAACATTCAGTGCGCTTTATGATCTTCTGTCCCTTGCACCAGTATTTATTTCCCCAGTAATTTAATCTTAATTATTAAGTCACTACTACCATGAAATTCTTATTCAAATTGCATTTAAAAATTAAATATCTTCTCTTTCAAGGATTGTTTCTGGCCTTTGATTCAGTCTTATAACCAAAATTAAAATTACTTATTTTGGCTTAACTTCATAATTATACCTGGTTTCAGTTTTCACTTCTCGTCCTTCCACATATGATTTCCATAAGAGTTGAATCCTAAATTTTATTGGCTGGATCATGCATTCAAGAAAGTTTTTAATTATTTAAATTATTTTTTAATATGGTTAGAAAAATAACATAAAATTTAGTATCTCAGCCCTTAATAAGCATACAATTCAGACATGTTAAGTATAGTCACATTGTTGTGCAACCAGTCTCCAGAACTTTTTCATCTTGCAAAACTGAAACTCTAACCAACTAAACAACTCTCCATTAACCCCACTCCCCAGCCTTTGGAAACCACCATTCTACTGTTTCTATGATTTGGACTACTCTAGATACTGATATAAATGGAATCATACAGTATTTGTCTTTTTGTGACTTGTGTATTTCACTTAGCATAATGTCGTCATGGTTCACCCACGTTTTAGCATGTGTCATAAAGTCCTTCCTTTTTAAGATTGAATAATATTCCATTAAATGCATGTACCACATTTTGTTTATCCCTTCACGCGTCCATACCCGCTTGGCTATCATGAGAAGGGCTGCTGTGATCAGGGTTGTGCAAGTATCTGTTCAAGATTCTGCTTTCAGTTGGGTAAATACCTGGAAGTGGAATTGTTGGGTCATGTGGTAATTCTATTTTTAATTTTTTGAGGAATCACCATACTGTTTCCCATGGCAGCTGCACCATATACTTTTTTTTTTTAAGATAAGCATGTAGGTGAGATTTTTTAAAACATTTGCTCACGTAAGATGTCTTTCTCTTGCTTTCATTCACTGATAGGTGTGTTCTTTTCCTCAAAAATATATGAAGACATTGTTGCCTCCATGTCTCTGAGTTTTAATACTAAATATCTTAAATGTGGAAGTACAAAGCCAACCATACTTTTGTTCCTTTGTAAGAAACCTAGAGTTTTGCTTCCTTCATAGCTGGTTTTAGAAGTTTTCTTTTTCCTTGAAATTAAAAAGAAAAGTCTCCTGCTAAGTGTAAATGGTGGAGTTCTGGAGCACGTGAACCCTTTTCACCTGAAGAAGATCTTTTTCGGCTTTTTGTCTTCAACTTAAAGTTTTCTCTCTTGTCTCTTTATTCCATGCATTCTGGTATCTTTTTTGCAAACTTCTGTAGTTCATAGATTGGCTGCTGTCCACTGTCTGTCTTCTCTATCATTTTCTATCTTTTTTTCATCTGTTTACCTTTGTCAACAGCATGATATCATTTTCCAAGTTTGTCTTGTGTTTTACTTTTTCTTCAGTATCCATTCTGCCCTTGACTGCCAGTAATTCACATTTTCCTTTTGCTGTTGAATTTCTAATTTCCACTGCTTCTCTCCAAATCCCAGTCCCTGTCTCACACTTCATCTCAGCGTAAGGTATTTTTAGCTAATCATAATCCCTTCTTCTGAACTCCTTTTCACATGTCACAGAATCTATGTTGTTGCTCTTCTTACAGATATAAAAGCCCATGTTTTATACTTGGGTTTTGTATTTTATTTATTTTTAGTGTAGTGTAGTTACCATTCTTAAAGTCAGGCATTTCCTTCAGGCCCTCAGGATAACACTCCCTGTTCTGTGCAGGATTTTCCCATAGATGCCGTACTGCTTTGATTTTCCCTTGCCCTTGGCTGAGGGACCCTCGGTTTGGTCTTGGGTCGGCTGTGTGGATCATCCTGGAAATCGCTCACTGTCCACGGAGGTAACAGTAGTGTCTCCCTCCCTGACCGAAAGCTGGTGGGTGACTTCATGTACACATATCAAGTCTAATTGCCAATATTTAGCAAGCATTCAGTCTCCAGGTGAGTTTTGCTAGCTCAAAACAGAATCTTCTCTTGACGCCTCTGATTATCAAGGAGTCAAGCTGTAGTTCTTTGATCAGATGTAATCATTTTTTAGAACTCAGTCCCTGGTAGGCACTGCCCCAAACCTTTTCCTGTCCCCTAGGGCTCAGACTCCAGGGTGGGAGAATCCCATGCCCTGGCGGGCCACAGTTGTGCACAGTTCTGCATTGAGAAGTGGGTGGAGAGGCCTGAGGGGTCGGTGTGAGGCCCATGAGATCTGTGGGCATGAGGGGACTTCAGGGCACAGTCTGCACAGGTGGCTTAGAGGAAAGTTCAGACTTAGCAAGTGATCGAGAGCTTCAGCTCTGATGCACTACTTTTCCGATTTAAAAAACACTGTAAAAAAGAATGGGAAAAAGAAAAGCTTGGTCTCCAGAACAGGCAGACCTGAGTTCAAAGGCCAGCTCTGCTATTGCCACATCACCACGGGCAAGTTAGGCATCATCTCTAAAATCAGATTCGCCATCTATAAAATGGGGCAAAAGTAGGACCTGCCTCATGGGATCATCATGATGATTAAATGAGATATTGAGATTAAGGCACTTGGCTCAGCATGTAGTGCACAGATAGTAGCTGCTGCTGCTCTTGTTTCATATGTACACGTGCAGGCACACACACGGATTTTAAAATGATGAAACTCTGAAACTTATAAACTGTGTCCCAGACTCATCAGAAGCTGGAACTGGAGGAATTTCTGGAGATATTCTCATCCATCCCCAAATTTGCCAGCCGAGGGGGCTGATGCCCCACCTGCCCCTTTAGGCTTCTAGATAATGCTTCTACCACATACAAGGAACAGACGTTAACCAAGTCATCTGTGAGGATCTGTGTTCTCTGGAGATTCTGAGATTCTGGCATTGAGGTGAATGCTCAGCCACATTAAGTAATGGGAGGGACCCTGGTCTTGGAATGGCCTGGATCAAATTCCACAGCCTGTTCCCTCCTCTGTTCTATTTCTCTTGGTAGCACAGTCACCCAGACCCGGAATCTTGGTATTATCTTAAATCTACCTTTTCCATCATGTCTGCAGCCTACCATTTAGTGACCTTTTGCCCCAACAATGCCTCTTGTACCAATCCTGTAGCAGCCAGATATTGCTGCTCAACAACCTCAGAAATCTTGGTGACGTGTGGCAATAAGCATGTATGTAGATGATATGTGTGCAAGTTGGCTGGGATCGCCTGATCCAGGCTAGACTTGGGTGGGACCCTGATTCACATGTCTCTCACCCACACCCGGGATCATCGGGCTGGCTCACAGAGGATCTTCTCATGACAGCACGGTGCATAAGAGAGTAACCATAAATGCCTAAGGCTTGGAATCAAAACTGGTATACTCCCCCCTCGTTGTGTTGGCTAAAGCAAGTCATACGGCCAAATCCAAAGACGGGGTAAGGGGAATATATTCCTGAATACGATCTAACTTAACACAGATTCTTACCTTTCAGTTGCCAGAGAGTTGAGGTTTTATTTCACTTAGCCTGGACATGTGCAGTAGCCTCCTGCCTGGTCTGCGCACCCATAAAGACCTTGTCATTCTCTCCACTGAAATACCCCCATATGCCCATGTCAGACCCTTAGCTCTTCCAAGGCCTGGATTTCTGGTTGCAGGTAGTAACTCCTGTCTCAGCTCCCCAAATCCCTTTACCTGGAACTCCTGGTAGCTTTTAACACCTTCTCTCTTTTTATCATAGTTAGGAGCAAACATAGCTTATCCTAGCCCTTAATGCAGTGCCTGGCATCCAAGGAGGCAATCATATTTTTAAGGAGGATGAATGAATGAATGAATAAATGCCTCTAATTTTCTTACTATCCTTTAGGCCCCTTGCAGGCAAGGGCTGTAGATGTGTCTCTCCCCCAGGGCTGGGGCCTAGATGGGCCCCCATCTCCGATTGCTGACGTGTGCTGGACAGTGTTCAGGTTACCCTCCCTCATGTGGAGGGCACGACCTGGGGGTTAGCAGAGGGAGATAATTTAGCCATAGGAGTTGAATGGAAGAGGTGATGACTCAGGGGAAGGTGTCATCTTCCCCTTCATCTCACTTCCTCCACCTCAGTATTGGGGTGAGTGAGGCAAGGCGGAGGGGCCCCCAGTCTGGGAACAGTGAAGCCGAGGTGCTATGGCCAAAGGTCAGGGTGGTTCTACCGCCTGTGAGTGAGTCCCCAACATTCATTGTCCATACACTCGTCACCTATCCCCATCCTTGTGGAAACATGGGGTTTATCAGTTGCCCAGGACCAGCCCTTAGGCCCTGCAGCAGAGGTGGTGCCCGGACCCCTCCCCAGTCCCAGCGAGGCTGACATGGTCTCTTGTGCCTCCACAGAAGGACTTCACGGTGCGGGAGGAGCTTCAGCAGCAGGATGTGGAGCGCTGGCTCGGCTTCATCACCTTCCTGTGCGAGGTGTTCGGCACCATGCGCAGCAGCACGGGCGAGCCCTTCCGCGTACTCGTCTGCCCCATCTACACCTGCCTCAAGGAGGTAAGTGACCCTCACGGCCCGCACACCTGCCCTGCCAGAGTGCCCACACTGGACTGTCTGATCAAAACTCATCTCAGATGTGCCAAGAAAGCTCTGCTTATGAAGTGATCTATCTTTTGGTACAGAGAAATACAGCTCCCCCATGCTTCTGTTTACTAAAGCCAGGTTTTTATTTACTGAGTTTATGTAAAGGAAAATAGCCCCCCAAAGGAAAATATTAACTCAAACGGCAATAATTCATAATCTAGACCACTGCCTACAGAGAGACCTACAGAAGTATTATTTGAATGAATGCATCTTTGGACTGGATTGGTTTATCATTGAATCATTTACTTTAAAAAATATTTGCTTGAAATTTTGTCTGAAAAAATAACTAAGAATAATGAAATTTTTGAGAAGCAAGAAGTCAGTGGGGTAGTTGCCCTGCCAGGTATCATCACCCACTTTCGAAGGTCATGCTGGCTGCTCTCCGGGTGTAGAATTGGAAGGGGCAACGTGGAAGCTCAAAGCTCATTAGGGGTCATCCAGTGAAAGTTTGGGAGCTCAGAACACCGCCATGACAGTAGCAGGGGAAGGGCTGTTTGCATTCCAGTTGTATTTTTGAGTTAGAACCAACAGGACCTGCTGACATGAGATACAGAGAAGGGAGGAAGGGACAGGGCTCGTTTACCAGCCTGTGCACCATTTTCTGGAATGGGGAAGGCTAGAAGGGAAACAGAGCGGCAATGAAAAGCAGGAGTCAGTTTTTGATGTTTGTTGGTTGTCCTCAGAGAGCTGTTCCGCAGTTGCTCGGACGAAAGTGTCTGAATATCAGAAAGAGATCAGCCCTGGTGACACAGGATTGAGCTTTGTGTGACCTGTACCTGGTGCCCAAGGCTGGACCAGATGGGGCCACCCAGGGAAGAGGGGGTGGCTGGGGGAGAACACAGGAACCAGCAAGGTGACAGAGGAGAAAGGGCCTAGGTCAGGAGGCCGTGGGTCAGAGAACGCTCCAGGAGTGGGTGAAAACCCTCTCAGTGGGCGCTGGTGTCAGCCCACACTTCACATGTGCTGTCCCCTGCCACCCCCAGCAGCAGGCCCCAGAGTGCAGCGAGGAGAAACCTGTGGGGAATGAATTGGACTAGGGTGGAGAAGTGGCTGGGGTTTGGCAACAAGTCTGTGAGGGGGCCCAGTGGGGTGAGCACAGAAGCCACACTGGGCCAAGCTGGGGAGTAGGTGGAGGTGAAGACCTGAGAGCAGACCGTCTTTGGAGCACTGTTTCTGACATTTTTGTGTTTTTGAAAGAAAGAAGATGATAGAGCCATTTAAGAGACAGGAGGGGGTATTTGTAAATGTTTTTGAAGAATCCGTTTAAAGGACAACAGCATGCTTTTCCCAGACTGTGTGGATGCTTACGGAAGCAGAGCACGCAGGACTCTCTTGAGCACTTTGTTATCCTGCCACTTTGTAGCCAAACATGTCTTTTAACAAATGTGCATGAATTAGATTTGTTACCCAGATTCCAACAATGGCCTCTCCCAACTTTATTTCACTCTCAAAATGTCAGGTACAGAATCCAGCACCAAGAGAGGCTGTAGCTTTGCTTTTTGCCTCCCTAGGAGTTGATTTGAAGGCAGCCCCCTTGGAGACAGGGAACTGGCCAGGATGGCCTCTTGAAGTTCTCTGATCCCGGCCTGAGCTGCCCTGTGCCCCTGACAACCCGGCTCAAGGCAGGAGGCAGCAGTGCTGTTCCAGAGCTGTGACCTGGATTCCCCAACACATTTCCCCTGCGTGATCTGGGCCAGGAAGCCGGGCCACAGCTGAGAGCTGGCCTGGCTGCCGGGACACTTCCCACACCGCCTGAGGGAGCGCGAACACTGGTGTGAGATTCGGAAGGTGCCAGGGGATCTGCACAGACAAGAAACAGGAGCCTCCCGTGATGCACACTTGTTTGATGCGTTAAACTTTTAAAGGCAGTGTCACAAACATAAACCCCTGCCATGTTCACGGTAAACTTGGAGAGTAAATAAATCATCTGTGGCTTTTCATCCTTTTGTAAAAGAAGACACCAGAGCCCCATGTTCCAGGCTTTCTGCTGGAGGCCCCACAGTGAGGTGGTTCAAGATCAAAGGCCCTTGGCTCAAACCCTACCTCTGCTGGTTTTTGACTCTGCCATCTTGAGGGAGAGTCCACCTGCTCTGCGTCTCGGTTCCTCGTTCGCAGAGGGGATCATGCTGCTTGCCCTGCAAGGGTTTAAGGAGGAAGACACAGTGTGGAGAGGGTGCTAAGTGCACCAGGGCAACTAGATCAGAGTTGGAATAGGCCAGTGGAAGGAAGAGCCCAGGGGACTCGCTCTCTAGGGCAGGCAGCTCTCAGAGAGCTGGGTGTCCTCCAGTCGGACTTAGGGCTGGGCGCACGCCCAATCTTAAAGGGTCATGGGGGCTGAGTGCCCTGTTCAGGGACACACAACCAGTAGGGTTCTTTCTGCTAGAGAGCTTGGCTTCCCGAAAACAGGGCCTTAAGTAAAGCTGGGGACATAAACAGTGCCCTAGGGATTGTATCAGTCCCTTTGGAGAGCCTTCGTCATTCCCAGCTCCCTAGAGACAGACATTTGAATACTTAGTCAGTTGCTGCCTTATAACACATACACTCATACCCAGGTCTGAGCAACATCCCCAAAGCAGGTTGAGGCAGCTCTAAGAAGTTTCTAGAAGCCACAGTCACACTGCTGCCCCTCTTCATGCAGGAAAGGTTTAGGCTCTTCCCCTGGGGCCGTGCAGATGGCCGACCCACCCTGCCCTGGGATCTTCCCAACATACAGAACAAGCCCAAGTTCATATTTCCAGTTGCCCACCAGATACATCAAGTCATGCCTCAAGCCCACCTGACAAGCTGTGGCCGGAGCTGCACCCCAATGCCCTCCTGCGCAGCCCGGGTCCTCAGTGGGCCCGACCCACGCCTTCTTGCCTCCTTGTAACTAAGCAGCAGCCCCACAACCCGACCAATTGCCTTTTCTCACAGTCACAGATCCTCTCCACCCACTCCATCCTCTGCTTCTTCAAGGCCCTCAATGGCTTCCCCCTGTTCCTCTTTTCTCAATGCCCCTGAGTCAAACACAAACCCACAGGCCGTCTTTGTGTGAAAAATCTCATTTAGAGCAAAGATAAGAGGAAGATACAAAATCCTCACAGCCCTACTTCAATCTCGGGGTGCCCATTCTTACAGAGGCCGCCTTCGCTGACACTCAGACCCTGTGCCCCTTGAAGATTGAGTGTGTGCTTAGACCCCAGGCCCTTCAGACTGGAGGATGCCCAGCTCCCTGGGAGCCACCGCACCTAGATTGAGTCCCCTGGGCATTTCCGTGCACACCACGGCCTAGCTGAATGAAGCACTCTCTTGTTACTTAAGCTTGAACTGCTGCACCCCATCCTTGGAGTCTCTTTTCTTGGCCCTAACACCTCCCAGGCCCAGCTCAAGTCATCTCTCCCAGGAGGCTCCCCTCACCCTGGCCCCCAGCCTCCAACGGGATGCTCCCTCCTGAGGGAGGCAGTGCTCTTTGTCCTCACAGCTCTTTCCTTTTCTCATCACCAGAGAGTATTTAGTAATGGTAACAGCTCAGCGGAAGGCATTGTCCAATCCATGTCACGCATTCTTTTCTCCTTTAACTCAGCACCCTGAAGATAATTATCCCCATTTTCCTTAGAACAGAGAGGTCTCGCAGCTTGCTCAGGGCACACAGCCAGCAGGTGGCAGAGACAATCCAGGTCTGACCACCGAAGTCCCTGCTCCGCACCACGTTGCTTCACTGCCTCGTGAACAGAGCAGCGGCCGCTCTTGTTCTGTTCTCAGTCTATAACCCAGCACCTGCTACATGGAAGAAGCCAAAGAGATCTTCACAGAATTCATTCTGTCTTTGTCTTAAATAACATGTGCCAATCAGGGAACCTTCTTCGAAGGATGGACCCCTTTCATTAAGAGCAAATGGTTTCTGCCAAATGGTTTTTAAAGTGAAGAGTTTTACTGGTGACCAGAACGTGTGAAGGTCTCCTTGCCCTCCTATTTACAGCTCATATTTGCCTCATGAGCTCTTTCTAATTTTTTTAATGTTTCTAAATTTTTATGGTTGCAAGAACACATAACATGAGATCTACCATTTTAACAGATTTTTAAGTCTCCAATACCTTATTATTGTCTCTAGGCACAATGTTGTACAGCAGATCTCCAGATTATTCATCTGGTATAACCAAAGTTTTGTGTCTAGTGATTAGCAACTCCCCATTACCACCTCCCCCAGCCTCTGCCAACCACTATTCTATTCTTTGCCTCTATGAGTTTGACTATTTTAAATACCTCGTGTAAGTGCAAATATGCAGTATTTGTCCTTCTGTGACTGGCTTATTTCGCTGAGCACAATGTCTTCCAGGGTTAGCCCTGCTGTTGCATACCGCAGAATTTCCTTTTCTTTTAAGGCTGACGAGTATTCTACTGTATGTATCAACCAGATTTTTAAATCCATTCATCTGTCAGTGGACATTTAGGTTGCCACATCTTGGTTACTGTGAATAATGGAACACAGGAGGGCTGCTAGCTCTTCAAAATCTCCATTTCAATTCTTTTGGATAAATACCCAGAAGTGGGACTGCTGGGTCATATGGTAGCTCTATCTTTAATTTTCTGAGGAACTTTCCTACCGTTTTCCAAAGCAGCTGTGCTATTATACATTCCCGCCAGCAATGTACAAGAGTTCTAATTTCTCCACATCCTCACTGACACTTTTTGTCTTTTTTTTTCATATGTATAATAGCCATCCTAACAGTTATGAGGTGGTTTTGATTTGCATTTCTGTGATGATTAGTGACATTGAGCATGTTTTCATATGCCGATTGGCTATTGGTATATCTCCATTGGAAAAATGCCTGTTCAAGTCCTTAGTCCATTTTTAAATCCAGCTTTTTTTTTTTTTTTGCTGTTGGGTGGTAGGAGCTCCTCACTCATATATTTTGGATTAATCCTTTATCAGG